TGAATGAATGAATGAATGAATGAATGAATATAATTATTTTATTACTCATTCAAAATAATTTATAGCTTAAAAGAGTTAAAACAAGGTGAAAACGAGCTTTTAGCAAACAGAACCAGTAAAAATGATTGACGTGTTTAGGTAACTAATCGAGGCAGTGTTCACTAGTATTTTTTGGCTGTTTGTTTGTTCTGTTTTACAGCGTTACCTTAGTCATTTGAACTCTTCTTTTAAAACTTCTTCTTTGTGAGCTGTTCTGCAGCCGGAAAAAAAATGTGAAAGGGCTTTGTGTGACGGGGAGTTCTATTCACAGCTAGGCACAAAGACCATTACAACCTATCACATCGATATCACAATTCGGGATCAAAGAATGAAAAATTCAGGCGCATTTCACTTAATCACCCGAGTTATCCGGCAGTCAAATATAACAGTATGAAAAATTACTTTAATGTCTCGCCGGTGAAGGTTGGGAAATCGCCTTTCACGCAGAGGCGCGACGCCCTGAGCTACCGATTCTCTATGTGCGTCAAACAAAGAGACGTTAAATATCATCGCTCTATTCTTTTCGACTCTGAGTCAACTTTTCAGCCTTTCTTCATTTTCAAGTCAAACCTTTGCCCTAAGTAGGTAACCTTGTAGAGAGGTGTCCGTTTTAGGGAGGTCCTCTACCGCCAGGGCCAAAACAAAAATGGCTGTTATGGAGAGTTGCCTGGGGAGGAGAATCTCAGATAACAAAGTTGGGGATACTCGTCGGAAAATTATAGTTAATTCCCTGGGCGAATCCAATCTAGTCGTGGGTCAGGCCTTATTTGATTTCTAAAGGAGACTTTAGTCCAATACAATGTGACTGCATTTATATTCATTTATTTATTTGATAATATTTCTGAACGCATATTCGTCAGAGACACCACTATTGATGAATATATTGGCTTTCCTTCAATCCGCGATTTCTGGCAATTTCACCCTGCCTCCTCCACGGGCTTTCCTAAGGTTTAGTGGGGAGCACGGAACAAGCGAGAAGCGCGAGAGGGATGATGGGAACGAGCACAGAGGGCGAGCGGGAACTGACTCCTTTCGCCCTTGCTTCCATTAATAGTTAACTGAAATATCCCCCAAAAAGTGATCGAAAGCGACTAGGGACGAGGAAGACGAACATCCTTGTCATTTGTATCATGAGAGAATGAGCAGGTGGGAGTGGCCCCTCCCCATTCAGGAAGAGATATGACCGCACTTTGAATTTATAGTTGTTACAGTAAGCAAACAATTCAGGTTTATTGATTGGTAGTTTTTTAGTGTTGCAAACGGGTGCTATCGCCAAATGGCTTAAAACAAAAGACTGAAAAGACACTGAACGATCCCACACCACTCCGACAAAGCAAACCCGGAAACAATCAATGGTTTCCCTATTGATCTCTCCATATCAAATGGTCTGTATCCTCTACTGATGCCACCTTGTCTCTGTTCTGGTCAATTGTCGCTCTTGTCTTGTCTACAAGTTTGAGACTGGTGTTGCAAATATACGTCCGAAATTTGCCTAGGAACAAAAACATTACGCTAGATATGCATTTTCAAAGGCTTAATATTGTGGGCGGTGGAAATTCTTGTGTAGACGAAGAGGTTTTGATGCCTTTTGGTCAACAAGAAAACGAAAGTATGACAAGCCAATATGGTGTAGGGGGTCATAAGGTCGTTACGGAAGAAAAACTGCAAAGAGGTCAATACCAAACAAACAGGAAGCAAAGATTCACTTGGACGGTTTTCTAAAAAGATTGGACTCAAAGAGAATAGAGAAGGTCATTTGGTGACAAGGGAAACAGAGATGTCCATCCGGTATTACTTAGGCGGCACTTGCTTCAACTGTACGTGTTAATCCACGATAGACACGTAACAAAGACTGAATCTCTTAGAGCAGGTTAACTGACAGCGTTTACTTCCCGTTTAGCTGAGGCCTCGTCACTAAAGTAAATTTCATGCGGGAAGATTTCCTCAGTTATTAGAAGACTTTGCTTTGCACACAATGACGAGTTCATCTGGTGGAATATCTCGCGTCCTCGTAGCTTGCTGTTGTGTTATGTTCATCAGCATAATTTTTTTAAGCGCTGGCTATGTAAGATTGGAACTGGAGCTAGGAGCTCTCAAGGAGAAATTCGAGGTAATCGAGCAACATGTAAAGACAATTGGTACAACCAAGGACCCTCCTTTCTTAAGCAAAGGTAACACTTATTTTGTTAAATATCAGATTTACATTGTAGAATGCTCTTTTTCCTTCCTTTTTTCATGGAAATTGATTGCTTCCTAATTAAAGCTCGAGAATGTCATATTTTTGTTCCCACAAAAGGTGCTAAGCCACGACATTCAATTTAAACTACTGGGTAAATAGACCAATTTAAAATATATCGACAAATTCTTATTACTTTTGGCTACGAAGCTTTATAGGGGCATATTCATTGCTGAACCTCAAGGTTAATTCTTTTGTATTATTCATCTAAGCCTCGGGGCCAGGTATGAATTTAAATATGTAGCAATTGGTCCACAAAGATCTTGATAGCCCTCGTTTGATTTTGAAATGCTGGTCTGCCTTGCCTTGTAACGTTTTACGTTTGACCTCTTTTAGACGCATGGTACCACGCATTTGTCATTCTTTTTTATTATTTTGATGTTTAGCAGAATGAAAATTTATACTTTTCTGCCTCTTTCAGTTTGGAAAGTCTTGTCAGAGAGAACAAAGAATCGTAGAAACTAAAAAAGGCAATCGAGACTACTAAATTAGTTGAAATGGTCGCGAGCCCTTCAGCTTTTGAGCTACAGTTTTAGGATCAATGATTCTCTCGTTTTCCGCTTAAACAGGGTCATTTTCATACTTCCTTGTCAGCTTAATTTTCTATCATTTCAGGATAGACGTGATGCTGAAATAAATGAAAACGTTACAAGGAAATTGTCTAAATCAGAACGACTTCAAAGTGGTTATAGACTTTAAGAATGCCCCCTTCGGATTGAAAATCTACTCTTGGCGGGTACTAAAACGACTAGGGTAATGTTCATTTCTGTTTTCAATTAAGGTCTTTAGAATAATTTCTTAGTTTTCAGCTTAGGTGTGTCGTCTTCTCCGTATTTATGACAGCAAGAGAAAGAATAATGTTTTCGTTTTCAAGGAAAATGGATGCTTTCTTTATATACACTAACAATTTGCAGGAGACTATTAACTTCTGTTATTTGATATCAGCTAAGCCTCTCTTGGTTAAAAAAAAAGATTATTCAGTTTGCAAGCAATTTATTTCAATCCAAAATATAAAAACTAAAATTCTGAGGACACAAGGCTGATGAATCCAAAAGGAGTCTCCAAATTTGTATAATGCATTCTGGAGAGCGGGATCTTGGGAAGAAAGAAAAGAAAAAGAAACGAGAAAAGTCTAATTATAGTCTAACAAGAGCTCTAAAAATTATATCTGACTGAATTTATGTAAACATGGCTTCAGTGAGTGTCTACAGGTCCTATGCTAAGTGTGTCCTTAGTACCAAGACTTTGATCCTCCCCATCCAGGGCAATAGGTGACTGTCTGCACCTCCCACTGAGCTCTGCAATTATCATGATAATCATTCTCAGCAGAGGCCTGATTCAGCTGGCTAGGGAAAAGTAAGAACAAGGTAATTGCCAGTAAAAGCCTCTAGTGAACACTGCTGCTTACTGAAGGGGTTGTGTCAAAATAGCCCCCTCCCTACCCCACTAGTTTTGACCCCTAGGCCTGATCCCCCACCCCCTGTTAGGGCAGTCCCTGGGAATTATCTAAATGGATAAAGTGCCTGAAGTCCAATTACGTTGTTTGCAAAGCAAAATTAAGTAGAATCGAGTCACTTCAAAGTTGCAAACACTTTTCAGGCCATAGTTCTGGGTTTTGCCTGATATTTCAATGTCACATAGTAGCCTGTCATCACTCAACAATGCTTAGAGCACATGCAAAGAATATCAGGATGATTACCGTAAACTCTCTATTAAGCCCCCCGGGGGGCTTATTTTTTTTCAAGCACTTTTGAGGGGGGGCTTGATAGAGAGTGGGGGTTTAAAGGAGAAGGGGGGGGG